CCGCGACTTCCAGGCCGCGCGCTTCGACCGCCACGACCGCGGGCCCTGCCCCCGCATGCGCCCGCGCCCCTCCACCGGCCTCGCCGAGATCCTCGTCCTGGTCGGCGGCTGCGACCAGAACTGCGACGAGCTGGTCACCGTCGACTGCTACAACCCGCAGACGGGCCAGTGGCGCTACCTGGCCGAGTTCCCCGAACACCTGGGCGGGGGCTACAGCATCGTGGCGCTGGGCAACGACATCTACGTGACAGGTGGGTGCGGCGGGGTCCCCGGCTCTCCCGGGCGCTCACCCGGGCTCGGCAGGCGACACCCACGGAACCCGAAGGCCGCGCCGGGGTCCGGCTGGACTCGTAGCGTAGCAGCTGCGTGTCTGTTCCTGCGGTTACTGTGGTTTTTTTTTTTTTTCTTTTTTGGAGAAAATCAAGGTTTCCTGCTCTAAAGGCGGCGTGCGGCGGCAGGCCGTCCCGTGTCAGGTGACCAGCGCCCTTTTTTGTTTTGTGGACAGGGTCACCCTCCCGAGCTCTCTCCCGCCTGCGGTCACTTTCCGCCCACAAGAAGGGCCCCTTGTGTGCGCGGGGACAAGTGGCTGCTTGTGGGTCCGCGCGCCCGCGCCAGCGCCCGGCCCCTGCGGTGCCTCGCGGTCGGGGCGGTCACCCGCACGCACAATGGGAGCTTTCTTTCTCTCCCCGAGCCACGCGGGGACAAGTCAGAGGCCGACCGACGCCGGTGAGGCGGCCTTCCCACCCCACCCCCGCCCCGCCGAGCCAGGGGATCGCGGGGCTGACTCAGTGGGCTGAGTGTCACCGGTGTGACAAGGTTCCTTGAGGGTGGCACCTGGGCCGCGCAGGGCGCCGTGGGTCACGTGGTGGTTAGGCTGAGGCCGCGACTGTAAACATGGTCACATGTTAAAGAGATTTTCTTCCAGTTACTTGGCCCAAACCCCAAAACACTGCCGAGTCATGGTGGGCGGGCCTGGCCTGCCCCGCAGCCGGGCTTCTCCCACAGTTTTCACCGTGGATGGAACCCTGTTCCTGCCCGAGGGAGGCTGCAGCCCGGGTGGGGCGGGCAGGGGCGTGCTCTGACTGCTATATAAGGGAAGAACCGACTGGGGTTGGCGCCGGCCCCGTCAGGCAGAAAGGCACTACAGCCAGCTGGGCCTGGGTCACAGAAAGCCCCCTGGGTCGGTTCCCCAGCTAGCTGATGAAGAGGGCCCCCCTGCCTGCCAAGGACAGCCTCCACCCCCCCCCCACCTGCAGCCCTGCCTTCAGCCCTCAGCTTCCATCCCTCTCTCTCTCTCCCGCTCCCTCTCTTCTGAGGACTAGCTGGTGGTTCTGAGCTGAGAACTCCCTCCCAGAACTGGCCAGTCCTGCCTGGCCTTCCCAGCGCCCTGTCACAAATGTCACAGCTGAGCAGCTAATCCTTTGGGTTTTAGGCAGGTGGCCATGTCATTCCATTCAGCTGCGGGTAGGGAATTTCCAGGGGCCCAGGAAGCCCCATTGAGCCGCCTCTGCAGCCGCTCCCCAGGGAAGGAATGGGACCAGATCTGTTCTGTAAGCTCTTTGTCTTCTTCCAAAGCCCAGCTCAGGGCTGTGAAACAGACAGAATGTCTGCTCAGCCCCGGGGTGCCAGGGAAAGACACCAGGGAGGAGGCAGCCAGGATTCCCGGAGTTCTTTCATGTTGGAGGCTGAGGTCTCCTGTCCTTAGTAGATCTGGTTTAATTTTATTTATGATGAAAACAGCATTGTTTTTCCTTCCCTTTTATTGGCACTGAGAGTTCAGGCAGGTTTGCGGCACTGGCCTTTAATCTCAGTTTTGTGGGAACAAGAGATGGGAGGGTATTGTGATCCCAGCAGGGTTTTAATCTTAGGCTTTTCCTGGTCAAAACCTTGAGACCCTACCTAAAAAATAAACTAAAGCAATGGTTGGGGAGTGGGGCAGGCTCAAGCAGTAGAGCAAAGTCTCTGAGTACAGCATAAGAACAGCTTAGTGTTTTTTGAATGAAACCCCATGGCTCATTGCTGTAATCCCGAAGCCAAGATCTGAGGATCTAAGTTTCAAGCCGGCAGAAAATCCCAGAAACTTTTTTTCTCCAAGTAGTCAGCAAGAAGCCAGAAGTGGAGGTATGCCTCAAGTGACACACTGCTAGCCTTGAGCAAAAAAGCTAAGAGCAAGATACCTTGATTTCAAGCCTAGTACCAGCACACAAAAAACGAAAAGAAAAAAGAAACACCCCCTTGAACCTGCCAGAGTCAAAACTAGAACCAAAGAGGTGCCTGGTAACATGATTTTTGTTAGGCCTCTCTGCTTGTATGCTACCTGATCAACTTCACCCCTTTACTCTATCTTCCCCCTACGTCCTTAAAACAACTCCTGCTAAGTACCTCACAGCCTAGATTCCTCTCATCTTGCCCTGGTATAGTCTTTTTTTTGGGGGGGGAGTCCGGTCATGGGGCCTGAACTCTGGGCCTGGGCGCTGTCCCTCAGCTCTTCAGCTCAAGGCTAGCGCTCTACCACTTGAGCCACAGCACCACTTCCAGCTTTTTTCTTTTTGCTTATTTGGTGCTGAGGAATCGAACCCAGGGCCCCTGGCATGCAAGGCAAGCGCTCTACCACTGAGCCACCTTCCCAGCCCCTATCCTGGTATAGTCTTGGGTAGCAAATACACAAGAAGCTTAGAATTTGATAGACAAGTCCAGTGCTTCACCACTGCCCAGGAGAACTGACCCTGAGATGGAATGCTGTGGTACTGTCCAGGTGTTTGACAGTATTCAGGTTCCTGAGACTATGTGTTAGTTCAGACTTGTGCCCCAGGGCCTTGGTCTGATGGCAGCAGAGTTGGTGGTGGTCCTGCCCGGGCAGTGGTTGGCATACACATTGCCTCTGTCTCAAGATGGAGTTTCTGGCCTTGGGAACCAGGACAGGTGTTGGGTGACACCTGCTGAGGACAGTTCCTCTCCAGCCAGAGGCCCTCACAGATGCTGGGTGACTCACCCCAGCACGCTGACCCATCTGCCTGCTGTTTGTCCTGGCAGGTGGGTCCGATGGCTCCCGGCTCTATGACTGCGTGTGGAGGTACAACTCCAGTGTGAACGAGTGGACAGAGGTTGCGCCCATGCTGAAGGCCCGGGAATACCACAGCTCCTCCGTGCTGGACGGGCTGCTATATGTGGTGGCCGCCGACAGCACGGAGCGCTACGACCACACCGCTGACGCCTGGGAGGCTCTGCAGCCCATGACCTACCCCATGGACAACTGCTCCACCACCGCCTGCCGCGGCCGGCTCTATGCCATTGGCTCACTGGCCGGCAAGGAGACCATGGTGATGCAGTGCTACCACCCAGACACTGACCTGTGGTCCCTGGTGGACTGTGGCCAGCTCCCACCCTGGTCCTTTGCCCCCAAGACTGTGACTCTGAACGGACTTATGTACTTCGTCAGGTGAGTATCCATGTGCCCGTATGTGCCCATGTGCTGCATATGCAGCTTTGCCTAGCAGGCCCTGAGTCAAGGCTGCCAGCCTCTGTCTCCCCATTTCACAGGTAGAAAACAGGGTCAGAGAAGCTGGATCTCTTGGCTCCAGGGAATTGTTCCACTCCTTTTCTCAGACCAGCTTCTGCAGCCCTCCAGGTTTTCTTCATCAAGCCACCCACAGTCACTGGTAGGCTGTCAGAAGAGACCTCTCTTCAGGCCCAGCAGGTGCATGCATCTCCTCCACTGGGCCTGAAGCCTTGTCTGGTCACAGCATCTCCTCACTGGCGAGTGAGTGGACTCGCAGGAGAGTGCCCACAGCTCCTCTGGAAATGCCCATGCTCTGTTTTTGTTGTTGTTGTCATCGGTCGTGGGGCTTGAACTCTGGGCCTGAGCACTGTTCCTCAGCTCTTCAGCTCAAGGCGAGCACTCTACCACTTCCAGTTTTCTGGTGGTTTATTGGAAATAACAGTTTCATGGACTTTTCCTGCCCAGGCTGGCTTTGAACCACGAGCCTCAGATCTCAGCCTCCTGAGTAGCTAGGATTACAGGTGTGAGTCACCAGTGCCCGGCATGCCCATGTTCTTTTTTTTTTTTTAATTTTATTTTATTTTTTGCCAGTCCTGATGCCCATGTTCTTGTGTCTGCTATTTCCCTCCCCAGCCTATGCCTGGCTGAAACTATGGGGCCAAGGAAGGAAGGGGTGAGCGTTAAGTTCCACTGTGGATCAAGTGGTAGAAGGCTAGCTCTGAGCAACCAGGCCCTGAGCTTAAGCCCCAGAATAGCATTAATAACAAAGGAGTGGGCTGGGAATGTGGCTCAGTGGTAGAGCGCTTGCCGAGCATGCATGAAGCCCTGGGTTCCATTCCTCAGTTCTACATACACAGAAAAAGCTGGAAGTGGCACTGTGGCTCAAGTGGTAGAGTGCTAGCCTTGAGCTAAAGAAGCTCAGGAGCAGTGCCCAGGCTCTGAGTTCAAGCCCCAGGACAAGCAAAAAAAAAAAAAAAACCTGATGCCAGGTGCCAGTGGCTCATGCCTGTAAACTTAGCTATTCAGAAGGCGAAATCTGAGGATGGCCGCTCAAAGCCAGTCTAAGCAGGAAAGTCAGTGATGAGATTCTCATCTCCAATTAACCACCAAAATCTTTTAGTGAAGCTATGGCTCAAGAGGTAGAGTGAAAAGCAAGGGGATAGTGAGTGTCTAGGCTCTTGGGTTCACGCCTCAGTACAAGTACACAAAGCCAGTCACAGCTTCTTCTACCCCCTTTTGGTGTGGGCCCCACAAACTGTCTTGCTTGCCTGAGCAGGACTGACCTTTCCGAACCCCCCAAAACAGGCAGTTCCTCCTCAAGGTGGGCAGGGAAAGGATCAGAGGGGTCACACAAGTGGCTGAAAGTGAAAGCTTGGAACCTCAGCCAGCTGTGGTCAGTTATAAAACCACCTGGCTGGCTCTCCCCAGCACCCCTCCCCCCAGGTGTCTTCAAGGAGGAGGTGGGGTGACTATAAATACAACTTCAGCCCCTCAGCAGTGGCTGCAGGCCCAGTACCTTGAGAACGTCCTTCCTGACCTGTGGTCCCCGAGCAAAATGTGTCCAAGGGCTGCTCTGCTCCCGGAACCGCCTGTCCCTCCTCAAGCCTCTGGTGGAAGCATTGGGCACCTCCTTGCGGGCTGTTTGCTTTGGTTACCTAGAGAGATGGGAGGAGGCAGCTTCAGCCCCTCCCAATCCACAGGAATCTGTGGAAAAGGAAGGAGGGAGCATCTGAGGAAATGGCGCAGAGTCCAGGAAAGACCTAACACCCTGGGCAGAGCCTGTCTGTTCATGGAGTCTTTTTTTTTTGCCAGTCTGGGGCTTGAACTTGGCCTGGGCATTGTCCCTGAGCTTCTTTAGCTCAAGGCTAGCACTCTAGCCACAGCGCCACTTCTGGCTTTTTCTGTATCTGTGTTGCTGAGGAATGGAACCCAGGGCTTCATGCATGCTCAGCAAGCACTCTACCTTGAAGCCACATCCTGTTCATAGACTCTTCATGCGCCATGTCACCTGCCTGGAATGACACCTGTCTGGACAGTTCTTCTTAGGGACTTGTCCCCTGGGGAGGCAGCCAGTGCCACAGCCCCTCAACTGTCATCAATAATTAGTGAAAGAGACTGTTGCCCTGGGTTCCATCTTGGTCCTGAGAAAAGGTGGCTCCTGGATGGGATGCAGCTGCCCTGCCCCTTCCTGCTGAGGCTCTTTCTCTTGATGAGAAAGGGCATGAGCGATGTGAACAGGCTACGGGTCCCCATGTTTAACGACTGTCATAAGGGCTCACAGGGAGGGATTAGAGACCCGAGCAATACATCACAAACTATGACATCCAAGCACCTATGCGTCTGCAACACAGCCTGTCCTCTAGCATGGAACTAGCTGTGACTGGTTTTGCATGACGGTGCCTCAGTTCTGGCTGTGGACACCTTGTGGTCCGCAGAGCCTCAGGTATTTGCTGTCAGGTCCTCTTGCTGGCCCTGATCCTGATCACTGCGACACTGGGGGTGGGCAAGGTGTCCCACTGGTAACACCAGGATAGGAGGCTTTTCTTCTCTCTTCATTTCTCTTATTACGTTTACATTGCTGGTTTCTGAGGACCCAGAAGTGAACAGGGCAAGGTTAAGATACAGTGACTTTTTGTTGTTGTTGGTTGTGGGACTTGAACTCAAGCCCTGGGTGCTGTACTGAGCTCTTCTTCTCAAAGCTAGCACTCTACCACTTTGAGCCTCAGCTGTTCTACGTCTGGTTTTCTGGTGGTTGAGGATAAGAGTCCTGGACTTTCCTGCCCAGGCTGGCTTTGACCCATGTCCCTCAGATCTCAGCTTCCTGAATAGCTAGGATTACAGGCATGAGCAGTTGGCACCGGGCTCACATAATGACTTAGAGAGAGGTGGCTAGGAGTGGTCTGTGACCAAGAGGGCGGGAGGCTTGGCCTGGCCAGCCACAAAGCTTTTCATAATAGAGTGGCTTACAGTTGAAATGCAGAGGAGGAAAAACCCAGGGTGGAAAGGCATGCAGTACCTCTCAGACCTGAAGAAACAATTATGCCCTTGTACCAGGTAGTGGGATTCACCAAGGGGCTATAAGTACCCAAGGCTGTGACCCTCAAGGCTGGAATTGTCCCTAAGCCCCGAGGGGTTCCATATAGCAGGGGAGCTGCCACATGATATCCAAAAGCTCTATGCAGCCAGGGTTGTTGGCACATAGCTATAGTTTCTTGGATTAAAGAGGTTGAAGCAGAGGGATCACACAAGTTCCAGGCCAGCCTGGGCTAAATAAGACCTTGTTTTCAAAAGCAAAAATAAATCTCAGCCAGGCACCGGTGGCTCATGCCTGAAATCCTAACTACTCAGGAAGCTGTGATCTGAGGATCGAACAAGGTTCAAAGCCAGTCAAGGCAGGAACTCTTTTATCTCCAATTAACCACCAGAAAACTGGAAGTGGTGCTGTGGCTCAAAGTGGTAGAGTACTAACCTTGAGCTGAAAAGCTGAGGGACAGTGCCCAGAGTTCAAGCCCCATGACTGACCAAAAAAATCTCCAGGCTGGGTGCCGATGGCTCACACCTGTAATCCTAGCTACTCAGGAGGCTGAGATCTGAGGGTGGCAGTTTGAAGCCAGCCCGGGCAGGAAAGACTGTGTGTGAGACTCCTATCTCCAATAAACCACTATAAAACTGGAAATGGAGCTGTAGCTCAAGTGGTAGAGTGTTTGCCTTGAGCTGAAGAGCTGAGGGACAGTGCCCAGGACCAGAGTTCAAGCTCCACATCTGACAAAAAAAAAAAAAATCTGCAGGTTACCACAAGATTGTAGACTCTCCTCATACCAAGGTAATTACTCACTCTCACCAGAATGTCCTCCCCCTCCTTCCTCCTTCCTTCCTCAGGGACGATTCTGCCGAGGTGGATGTGTATAACCCCACGAAGAACGAATGGGACAAGATCCCGTCTATGAATCAGGTAAATTGACAGCTGGACCACTGTAGTAAGCACAGGTTGCTCCTAGTTTCACAACCAGAGTGTCAGAGTGTCCGCATGATGATGAGGGCTGGGGAGAGGCTGTGGAGGGAGGGGCGGGCCGTGAGCCCTCTCCAGCTTGTGCTAGGGAGACTGAGTGAAACCCAGTGCTTAGTAAGACCTCAGGCTTACATACATTTGTCATGGGGCTTGAACTCTGAGTCTGGGCACTCTCTTTCAGTTCAAGGCTAGCACTCTACCGCTTGAGCCACAGCGCCACTTCCAGCTTTTTCTGCTTCTGTGGTGCTGAGTAGTCGAACCCAGGGCCTCATGCATTCAAGTCAAGCACTCTACCACTGACTGAGCCACCTTTCCAGCCCTACGTTTGTTCTTTATTTATTGAGCACCAACTATGTACACAGGGCAAAAGGAGGGGAGAAGAGCAAGACATAATTACAGCCAGGTGCCAGAGGCCTGAAATCTTGCTGCTCAGGAGGCTAAGATCTGAGAACCATGGCTCAAAGCTAGCCTGTGCAAAAAAGTCTAACTGGAGGCGTAGCTCAAATGGTAGAGTGCCAGCAGTGAACAAGCAAGCCAAGCAAGAGCATGCGCCTTGATTCAAGCCCTGGAGTGGGCAAACAGAAAGACAGTTACCTGGAGGTGTTTCAGAGGGACAGCAAGTGCAAAGTCCTTACAGCAGGTGTGCCCTGCATGTTTGTGGGCCATCAGCAGCTTAGTGGCTGGAGGTGATGAGCTTGGACAGGAAATCTATAGGGACTGAGTGACCTCAATTATATCTGATAGGAACTCCTAGCCTGATGGCTCATATAATCCCAGCTACCCAGGAGGCTGGGATCTGAGGATCAAGGTTCAAAGCCAGCCCAGGCAGGAAAGTCCATGAAACTCTTTTTTGTTTGTTTGTTTTGTTGGTCATGGGGCGTTGGATGCTCTCCCTTAGCTCTTCAGCTCAAGGCGAGCGCTCTGCTGCTTGAGCCACAGCACCACTTCCCTGTGAAACTCATCTCCAATTAATCTCAGAAAAAGCCAGAAGTGGTGCTGTGACTTGGTAGAGTGCTAGCCTAGAGCAAAAAGTGCTCAGGGACAGAGCCTGGGTCCTGAGTTCAAGCCCTAGGACCAGCATAAAATAAATAAATATCTTTATTGGGCGTCCACACACTGTTGCACTGTCCTGCGGGGAGCTCGGTGTAGGCGTGCGCTTACCGCCTGCTGGACAGTGCAAGAGGCCCCAGCGCCAGCACCACAGAAGCCTCAGTGAGATGGACAGTCCCTGCAGGGAGGGGCTTATAGGAGCACTGGGTACAGCTTCTACTGTGGGAAGGACCCCTTGCTGGGCCCAGGCAGGCCTGTGACCCCTCTCACCCCCCAGAGCCCTTCTACCTAGTTGTGTACAAAAAGTGCATCAGCCTGTCCTGGTCACATTTCCTTGGAGGTTGGTATGCCTAGGAAGTGAGCAGGCCACCCCTGAAGAGGGCTCAGCCTCCCTATACCTTAGGAAACAAGAATGGGGTGGTGGGGGGTGGTGCTAGCCCCAACTGCTGATCCAGACTGGCCTCCCTCTTGCCCACAGGTGCACGTCGGGGGCAGCCTGGCCGTCCTGGGAGGGAAACTCTACGTTTCTGGGGGATACGACAACACTTTTGAACTCTCGGACGTGGTAGAGGCCTACGACCCAGAGACCCGGGCCTGGAGTGTGGTGGGGCGGCTGCCGGAGCCCACCTTCTGGCACGGCAGCGTCAGCATCTTCCGCCAGTTCATGCCACAGACGCCTGTGGGTGGGCGTGGCTTCGAGCTGGATGGGGGCAGCCAGGACGTGGACGCAGGCCGACACCGGCCACTGCACAACCCTGACGAGCTGCACTAGCCCCAGCCTGGCCAAGGGAAGGCCTTGATGTAAGGGACCCAGCCCATGGGGCAAGGGCCCTGTCCTTTGTGCCCCGTACTGCTGAGATGACCAGGTGCAGCACAGGCTCCGGGCTGCTGTGTAAGCCCCAGCATCCATCTGCAAGATTTCTGTGCCATCCATGCCTGCCTCACAGCTGGAGCCAAAGCCGTTTGTGAAGGCCTCTCCCTTGGTCAAGGAAGAGCTGTTTCCCAGGGCCATGTGGCTCTGGCTCCCAGAGGTCAGCTCCCACCTGTGACGCCAGCTCTTCAGGCACTGCCACCACCTGGGCCTGCATGCTCCCCCCTGTGAGAGTGAGTCAGGCCGATCAGTGGCTGAGAGAAGCCCCATCCTCCACATCCAGTGCTGCATGTTCCTGAGGCCAGCTTCCCCGGGGAACAGGAGTGTCTACCTGCCTAGCATCTTAACCACTGCTGGGATCTTACAAGGCTGGGTTTCCTAGAGGTGTGTACAGGGCTGGGAGACTGAAGGTAGAGTATGAGCTTAATCTTGAGTTTTCTTTCTGGTCCTGGAGGACGTAGACATGGCAAATGCTGGCTCTACCCCCATCCATAGGCCAGTGGAGAAGCCAACAATGCGCAGTGTGTGAAGTGCAGGGTTGAAACTGTAAGACCTGCACTGGTCTCGGAGTAAAGGAGCCTTCTTCGAAGGAAGCCCTGGATGAGGGTAACCTCAGTGTGCTCCAAGTTTCAGATGCTTGAAGTTGGATGTTTTGAGGAGGTGGGAAGCCTAGGGAAGGTCAGGAGGGTTTGGTCTTGTTTTCAGATCTCTGCAGTGCCATTGTCAGAGCTCTAACCAGTACAGGCGAGTTCTTGCTTGAAGCAGAACAGTCTGCACTATCACCTAAAGACCTTTTGGCCATTTCGGGCACCTCGCAGGGCTGCTGAGCAGCTCTGGTCTGCCTGTGCTCTGTTCTGTGCCATGCACAGCAGGTGGCACCACAGTGAGACGAAGTGGATCCCCCAGTGTGTTCCTCGGTCCCCAGCCTGTGGCTGCCACCCAGCCTGTGGAGGTCTGCTGAGGCCACTGAGGGCGTCCATGCCCTGGGGTTTGCCTCCCATCACATTGCAGGGCAGGGCCATGAGCCTGTAACGGCTCAGAAGCACGGGTGTGCACTGGCCAGGTTGTGTCAGACACATGGGGAAGTCTTGAGAGTCTGGTTTCACCATCATGACAGCCCATCCCATAGGGGCCTGTGCAGAAGGGATAGGCTGGAGTCTGCATCCTTCTCTGCCCCCAGGACCCCCTACAATAAATAGCACCCTCCAGCCTGTGGACCCAGCTGGGTGTCCCTCAGCCTTGTCTCTGGCCCAGATTCTGGGCTGCACTGTCACTACCACTCACTGGTGTCTTCATCAACCTTGGAGCCAGTGCTGGGGATGGGGTTCACACATGACCTGTACAGAACTTTTATCTGCTGAGGTAAATTATGAAAATCCAGTAACAAGTATTTAATGCCTTTTCTATGAGGTTTTCTATATTTATGGCCCCCAGAGACTCGTAGAATGAAGGCACCCCTTTGTCCCATCAGTCAGTCACACCACAGGGGAAGCTTTGTGTATTTGCTGCAGACTATTCTGTAGGCTTACATGTCCAGTGTCCTGTCTTAAGTTTTTGGGATGCCTTCGATACTTTTTGAAATAAAAATGTTTCCTATACATTGGCGTCGGTCCCCTCCTGCTGCCATCTTCAGGAATCTGGGCTGAGGCCAGTGTTGGAGGAAGACCTAGAATCTGAGAGGGGTTCAGGCCCTTTCCCATCTCAGATCAGCACAGGGTATGAAGCAGAAAAAACACTGAGAAACAACTGAGGAACAGTCTTGAAGCTCATTTCTTCCCCTGTGCAGTGCAGAGTGGTAGATCAGAGCCTGCACTTAGAACTCAGTCACCGTGGGGCTGGGAAGGTGGCTCAGTGGTAGAGCGCTTGCCTTGCATGCCTGAGGCCCTGGGTTTGATTCCTCAGCACCATATAAGCAAAAAAGAAAAAAGGCGGAAGTGGCACTGTGGCTCAAGTGGTAGAGTGCTAGCCTTTAACTCAAGAGCTGAGGGACAGCGCCCAGGCCCAGAGTTCAGGCCCCACAACCGGACCCAAAAAAAAAAAAAGAACTCAGCCACCATGTTGTGAGGAAGCCCAACCAGCTGGTATGAAGTAACCCAATGATCAGCTCACCGGGTACAGGTGAGCAGTCCTGAGGACAGATCCCTAAAGCCCTGGAAAATGTGTTTATGAGTTTATGGTTTATGAGTTTAAAGGTTAAATGAGTTTTCTCATTTAATCTTTGTGAACATGTTACTAATTCCATTAAAGGTGGAGGTGAAGCGGTAACTTGTTAATAAATGGAGGTGGGAAGAAATTACAATCTTCAGTAGCTTGCATGTGCCTTACCTCAGCAACCTGCAAACCAAATCAGGGCCCTCTTAAGGGATGGGGCCCTGAGAGCATTCTGCCAGCCAGGCTAGCTTGCTACGTGCCTCCAGATAGAGGTAGCTCCATGCAGAACTTGAACTGGGCCCAAGTCCTGACTGGCCAGCAGGACTACCATGTAGAACCTAGCAATTCCATTCTGATTAAAGGCTCCAGTGAATGCTACCCTGCTAGCAGGCATCACCTCCACCAACAACTACTGCTTCTAATATCCTAAAAGGAGAGCAGGAGTTAGAGACCAGTGGTTCACACCTGTAATCCCAGCTACTTAGGCGGCTAGATCTGAAAGCCACCACAGGCAGTAAAGTCATGAGACTCTTGCCTCTAACCACCACCATTAACAAAAGCTGGAAACAGAGCTGTCACTCAAGTGGTAGAGTGCTAACCTTGAGCTAGAAAACTGAATGACAGCACCCAGGCTCTGAGTTCAAGCCCCAGAAACAGACCACTGGACAACTGCGTATAAAGCCACATGTGTATTGGGGGCTGGGCCAAGTGGGCAGGGTGGGCTATGTGTCACAGTCCTCGGGGCCAGCAGCTGTGATGATGAGCGAGGGCTCTAGGACACCTGAGCCAGCAAAGCTCTCTTCTGCACACAGTCTCTGGCCAGGGAGCTGGGTGGCCAGGCCACCCTGGGCCAAGGACTCGACAATGACCTCGGCTGAGCCCACCTCCAGCTCTGCGGGAGGCTGCAGGGCCACCACCACCACCTTCTCGTCCTCAATGACCAGGTTGCGGAGCTTGCGCTGCCGGGGATTGTAGTTCTCCACGCGGTCATGGATCTCCATGTGCCTTCGCAGGTGGGCCTGGAGAGAGGGCGGGCTCAGGTCTGGGCGGCAGAACGGAGGGGGCAGGGGTGGGCGCCAGGGCCCGTCCTACCTGCCGAGTGAACTTGTAGCCGCACTCCGTGCACTCGAACTTCCTCACCCCCTTGTGTCGTCGGACGTGCACACGTAACTGCTCTACCGCTGGGGGGGAGAGAGAGAGACACGGTGGCCACCAGCATGAGAGCAGGAGGAGCACATGGCTCTCCAGCAGCACCCTAGGACCACTGCCATGCAGCAGCTGGGCGCCGTCAGCAGATCCACTCTCGCGTCTTAGCAGGGGAGGTGGCAGACGTTGGCTGGCAGGAAGGCTCTGCTAAGGAGCATGTGCAAACCGCTGCCCCTGCCCTCTCTGTGGAGTCCCCCGGGTCAGTGGGAAGCGGAAGTCTGGCCCTCCCTCTTCCTATGCTTGCCCAGGTACCTTTGAAGGTCTTGCCACAGATCTGGCAGAAGTGGGGCCGGCCCTCCTGGTGGCGGCTGGCCACATGCCGCAGTAGAGGCCCCTTCTCCGTGAAGCGCTGCTCGCAGAACTCGCAGCTGAAGGGCCTCTCGCCTGTGTGGGTTCGGTTGTGCTTGTCCAGGCTGGCTGTGGGGGACAAGGCGGAGCTCAGCCACTGAGCGTGTCCCCAGGACAAGGAAGGGAACCGGCCTAGCTCACCTTGGGTGCGGAAGGTCTTGCCACAGAGGTGACACTGGAAGGGCTTCTCGCCCGTGTGTGTGCGCAGGTGCATGTTGAGATTGGCCTTCTGCGTGAAGGCATGGCTGCAGAACTCACACACGTAGGGCCTCTCATTCCTAGAGAGGAGGGGACATAGACGCCATCACTGAAGGATGCAGCCCCCTTCCTGCTGTCATAGAGGCAGCAGGGCAGGAAGGGAGTCCATGGTGCAGGGTGCCACAGGAGGAAGTTGGGGAAATGGGAGAAGTGGCCCTAGGAGGCACAGAGCCTGGCCTCAGCCCCCCTCCCCACCCCCTGCTTAGCAAGGCCCCGCAGGTGCCCCTCACCCCAGAAAAGCTGCAGGGCGAAGGGACAACAACCCAGACCTGTGCTTGGCCTTGATGTGCATCTGCAGCCCGTTGCGGCTGGAGGCCCTGTGCCCACATTCCTCGCACACAAACAGCTTCTCCCCGCGGTGCTTGAAGGCCTCGTGTAGCTGCAGCTCCGTGCGGGACAGGAAGCACTTGGCACAGGTGGAACACTGTGGCACAGGACAGGCAGGGGCTTACAAGTAAGGACAAGGGGACAGCCGGGCTGCGAGGGAGCCTCAGTGCCGCACCTCCTGCCCTGGCCCTGCCGGGGGCTTACCGCGTGAGGCTTGGGGGCTCCGTGCAGCTTGATCATATGGCTCTGCAAATCCTTCTTCTGCATGAACTGCTGGGAGCAGGAGGAGCACTGAAAAACAGGCGCAGTCCCCTCAGGAACAGCCCGCACTGACACAACCCCACTGTCGCACAGGATGATGAGCGCGGGGCCCAGCAAGGTGCACAGTGGTCCCTGGTCTGGCGTGAAGGCTGGCTCGGGAGGAGGCAGCGCGCAGCTGACCAGGCGTGTCCTGAAGAACGCCGACCTGCCCTCCATGGCAAAAGATGGGCTCCAAAAGGAAAGGGTCAGGAGACGGTGGCTGTGGCCCTACCCTCAAGTGTGGAGTCACTAGAGTAACAAGGCAAGCGGGTCCCTTGACAGCCATCTAGGGAGAGGCAAAGGACTCCACAGGAAGGACCGGGTGCCAACGATGCCCCACCTCCATCCAGCCACAGTCCTGGGAGCGGCTGAGCCTGACCTTGTAGGGCATCTCCCCTGTGTGCGACACCATGTGCGTGCGCAGCTCTGTCCTCCGGCGGAAGGTCTCCTGGCACACGGAGCACGTGAAGACCTGGCGGTGTGAGGGGCAAGCAGGGCCGGCATCAGGGGGCGCCGGTGCCTGCGGCGGCAGCCTCTGCCCGGGCTTCCACTTGCTGCTGGGGTGGGGGACGCTAGGGTGGGAGAGGGTGACATGTGACCCGCCTGCCCTGCCCGGCACTGAGCGCTGCCAGCTATCACCTGCTGGACCCTGCTCAGGCCCAGCCGGGCTGAAGCCAGGCCCATCGGACTCTTCCACAGTCCTGGGTCCCAGATGCCACCAAGGGGCCTCTGGGAAGAGAAGGGGGAGGTTCATCCGGACCCTACCCACACAAGGCGGCAGTGGGGTGTGCAGGTGACCAGAAGGCCCTTCCCTGCAGCTAGCCCCCACCAAAGCCCCCACCCCCCAGGCTCCAAGGTGGAGCTGGGCTGAGGCCCCACAGGAACCCGAATGTCCCCTACAGTGTTCCTCCAAGCCTTGTCCCTTTCTGCCCGTGCGACTGTGGTCTCCACCTGCACCAGGGTGTGGCATCCATGATGCCCAAGGACCCTGTAGCTGTCATGAGTTCGCAGTCCCCATTAGAGACAGTCTCCTGGGGGCCCTTCCCAGATGGCACGAAGACCCGTGACACGATGTGACACTATGTCGGCCCACAAGTACCTGGGTAGCTCCCAAGTACCTGTTCCGAGCGGTTCATGCAATTCCGGGCTTCATGCTCCAAGAGGTTCTCCTTCCGAAAGTAACACTTGCCACATTTGGGACACTCGAAGGGCTTCTCCCCAGTGTGTTTCCTGTCAGGAGAAGCCACAGGGGTGTGGGGGCTGAGAGCAACTCCCTGCCTCCTTCCCTCCCAGGCCCTGCTGCTCCCCACCTCTGACCCACGCTATGCTGCTCGGAAGGAAGGGAGGGAGGGAGGGAGAAGGAACGGGGGGGGGGGGAAGCAGCAAATGAGAGAGGTAGGGAGGGAGCAAGGGAGGAAGGAAAGAAGGAGCATCCTGAGGCCCAAGCAGCTCCTTAAAGCCTGGAGAAACATGCAGCAGCGAATCAAGGAATCTCCCACTAGCCTGGAGACTTCAGCAAAAGAGGGCACTGTGGCCATCGCCTTTAACAGTCCACACTAGAGCGGACAGCTGGGAGCCACCAGCCAGCCCCGCCTCAGCCTGACTTCCTAGGTGGTGCCTAGGAACTAACTGGCACAGAGGCTCATGGGGAGGCCCAGCTTTCTCCTTCAAGGCAGCAACAATCACGGGCTGACCTGGAAAAGCAGCTATCTTCCCAGTGTGTCCGGGTTTTACCTCTGAGGCCAGGTGCAGGTGGCTCACACCTGTAATCCTAGCTACTTAGGATGCTGAAAATAGTTGTTCAAAGCCAGTCTGGACAGGAAAGTAAGGGACAGTGCCCAGGTCCTGAGTTCAACCCACTTTTGCTGATTGTGACCAGATGTGCAGTAGCAGCAGCTCCTCGTGTGGTAAGAGGTACACTTGCTCTCCCAGCACCACGTACGCCACACTGGACAAAGTTCAGAAGCCCTCATTACCTCCCTCCTCAGCTCACAACTGTCCATAGCTTCCCGCTTCTATGAGAAAATGCTCAAAGGGCAATGAGCACACGATGTGCCCCAGTGGACTGGCCAGCCCCTCATGTTTCTGGCCTTGCTCTGGAATCCCCCATCAGCCCCCACAGCCAGGCCAGGCCCTCGCTCCTCACTGTTCTCCACCCAACCAGACTCACTCCTAACCCAAGGCCTTTGTGGCTCATGTTCTTGCCCAGAAGGCACTCTCAAATGGATGACTTCCATCTTTGCTCAAATTTAGTTTTGTGTGTGTGTGTTTTAGCTTTTTGCTCAAGAGAGGCACTCTATCTCCTGATCACACCTCTGTATCTAGCATTTTACTGGTTAATTTCTGCCCTGCCTCGTCTCAATCTCCTATCGCAGCCTCCTGAATAGCTAGGACGACAGACGTGCCACCAGCAGAGTTAGCTTTCTCACTGTCTTGGCAGGCAACAGTTATGTATTTTTTATTTATTTATTTTTGGTCGGTTGTGGAGCTTTAACTCTGGGCCTGGGCGCTGTCCCTCAGCTCTTTAGCTCAAGGCTAGCATGCTACTACTTGAGCCACAGTGCCACTTCTGGCTTTTTCTGTTTATGTGGTGCTGAGGAATGGAACCCAGGGCCTCGTGCATAAGAGGCAACCACTCTACCTATGAGCCACCTTCCCAGCCCTCAACAGTTACTTAAACATAAAACTTGAACTCCCCAACTTCTCGGTCTGATACTGCCTTTGCGTGTGTGTGTGTGTGAGATACTGCCTTTGCTTGTGTGTGTGTGTGATACTGCTTTTGCTTGCGTGTGTGTGTGTGTGTGCGCGTGCGCGCGCATATGTGTACCAGAACCAGGCTTTGAACTCATGGCCTCACATTCCCAGCTTGCTTGCTTACTACTCACAGCTAGCACACTGCCACGTGAACCATGCCTATACCATGGCCTTTGCTGCTTAATTAAAGAGAGAGCTGCCTGGGCCAGCTTCGAACCTTGATCCTCTAGGTCTCAGCCTCCAGAGTAAACAGGATTATAGGCAGGAGCCCCAGTGCCAAGTTTCCTGGCTATGTGTGTCGTTTTCATCTGTATTGCCCTGCCAGAAGGTAAGTTCCTTCCGGAACTTTTGTTTTATTTACTGATGTACCCTGGTAGCCCACACATTCTTGTCAGCTGTCTGGTAGTTCACGGAATCAGTGAAATGAACCCGCACCTCAGAACCCAACAACGGCACTGGAAGGGCTCCCAAAGCTGCCAGAAGCCAAGTGCTTCTTTCTCTTCCTCTACCTCAACTGGCCACCCCCCCCCCCATGGCAACAACCTCAGGAAGCCGTCGCTTGCCATCCAGTTGTTAACGCCATCCAGCAACCCACAGCCCGAGGTAGAGACGCATGGGGATCCTGGTCTGCGTTAGTCTTGGCATAATGCTGGAGCATGGAGGCAGTGATGGGCAGCCACAGGGTGCCTCCTGCAATGGGGTTACCCACACTCCACTAGTCTTGGCTGCCCCAAAGCCAAGCATAGTAGAGCAAAGAGGTCTCAACTTTAGCTCCAACTCTAGGTAATGTCTGTGTCCTCCCAGGGTGTCATACTGAGAACAAGTGTGAGGTCCAATCTGGCTCTCAAGGTGGTGCACTGCTGGACTGGTGATGTCCTGGGCAGGGCTGGAAGGCAGGACACCCAGAAGTCCTGCAAGACTCTGGGGCAGCATTGATGAAGAGAACACCCTGGGGCGATGCAGCTACTCTGTGTGCACCATCCAACCTGGTAGCCCCCAGCCTCATGGCTCCTGAGCACATATGATGTGGCTAGTTATGTCTAAGGAACTGAATTTTAAGTCATTTAATTGAAACAGCTCCTAGAGCTCTTGATTGCCTTACTGGACATTGAGCTTCTAGCCAATGGTCTTTTTTTTTGGGGGGGGGTCCAGTAGTGGGGCCTGAACTCTGGGCCTGGGCGCTGTCCCTCAGCTCTTCAGCTCAAGGCTAGCGCTCTACCACTTGAGCCACAGCGCCACTTCCGGCTTTTTTCTTTTTTCTTATGTGGTGCTGAGGAATTGAACCCAGAGCCTCAGGCATGCAAGGCAAGCGCTCTACCACTGAGCCACCTTCCCAGCCCCCCAAATGGTCTTTTATGCTCCACTGACACCCTGAACTAACATCCCTAGAAACACAGGAACTACCAACCCTCCAGATCAGTATCTTGGCCACAGCCCATCATTACAAATTCCTAACATCAGGCCCCAGCTCAAGTCAGGGGCTACAGGCTTCACTCCTCCCTTCACTCCTCCCTTGGACAGAACAGCTGGCAGTCAAAGTCCACAGTGGATAGAATCTATTGGTAGGCCCACCTCCAACCAAAAGTCTCACAGTAGGAGGGGAAAGGAGGATCTGACCCTAAGGGAGGCTCCCACTCCCTGATGATACAGACAGAGCACCCAGCCCCTACAGAGCCCAAAAGTGGGGAGTACGGCACCCTCCCCCAACACAAGAATGGTAGGTGGGAAAAGAAAATAGAAAAGTAGAGTGTTTACCTGTTGTGGACTTTTAGGTAATATTTGCTGAGGAACTTTTTATGGCACGTGGGGCATTCAACCGGCACCGCTGTGCCTTTTCTGCTCTCAGCGGGCTCAGCTGCTAGGGAACTCGCACCCAAGGTTGGCTGGGCAGCACAGGGCTTGCTCATTACTTTTGACTTCCTCCTGGACAGCACAGTTTCAGGTTCAGAAACGTAATCGCCATCCCCGTCGTCCTCAACTTGAACCACCACTTCCCACTAGAGCAGAAGAGGCGCAGGAGAGGCTCCGAGTTAATGAGCAGGCGCTGTGGGGGCCCCGCTTTAGTTCATCCCCAGCCCCAACCCAGATGGTCCCTATACAGTCCCAAGCCACACAGCCTCTGAATCCTGAATCCAGTGGGGAGGGGGAACAGGGGAGGGGGAATTGGCCCTATTTTTGAGGAACTAGAAAGCTGATTAGCTTTCACTACTCTCGGGAAACACCTGTCATGCTGATGTTATTCACGCTGCCCCCAAGGGAGCTGGCAACCCAGGCAGCCAACCACAGAAAGGTCGACTGAGGCCACTGGCTTCATATGTGTGGAGAAGGCCTGTTCCGCATAATACATTTTATTTTGGGGTCCAGGTCACCCCAGAAAAGTACCATCATTTTCTTCCTTTGGTGATAATGGGGAGCTCAGAGCCTCACATGTGCTAGGCAGGCCCTCTATCACACGAGCCATGCCCACGGCCCTGTTTTTCACATTGGGTCATGTTTTTGCCCAAGGCCAGCCTTAGACTGCCATCTTCCTACCTATTCCTCTTGTGTAGCTGGATTACAGATAGGCACCATCAAGCACAGCTTTTTTGTTGAGATGAGGATCTCATTAACCTTTTGCCTCAGCTAGCCTCTGGGATCCTCCCCATCTGTCTCCTGAATAACTGAAATTACAGACACGTGCCACAACACCCAGAAAAAAAAGTGTCCAACATGCCCCCTGCATGTGGATCCCCAGTTCCAGCCCCCTGGCACAGTACCTCATTACTCTCTCGATGCAGCGGGGCATCTTCGGCTTCAAAGGACCTCGTGAACACTTTGCCGTCCCCAGGGTCCTTGTCCTCTGAGGGACAAGACCTTAGAGCCTGCTTGAGTTTCCCACAGAGGAAGGAGGGGCTGCTCTGAGCAGGGTGACTGAGCCCCTGAGGGCTATGACTGTCCATGGGCTCCTGATCCCTGGGCACCATGCCCAGAGTCTTCGAAACTTCATCGTCTTCTAAGTCTGATGGCTCCTTGAGGTGGCCTTTCACATCCTGTGAGACAGGTGTCCCTGGTCCACTCTGGCCACTTGGTGCCTGTCCCATTGAGGTTTGGGGCTGAAAGTTCTTGCATAGCTCCACAGCCTCAGGTACTCGTAATTCCCTGGCTGCCAGGAGCACTTGATCCCTGTTCCCTGAGGTGAGAGCCAGGTGACCAGTGTAGAAAAAGTCCAGCAAGAGGCCAAAGATCTCTGAGAAGCCAGCAGGGAGGACAACGCTGCCCCTGGAGCCATCTCCATAGAGGCTCTGGAAGAAGTGGCTGCAGCAGGCAAGGACACTCCAGTGTGCCTTGAAAACCAGGCCCCCCACATCCAAGGTGGCATCACAGTACTGGCCCTTCTCCCGCTGCTTATTGAGCTCTTGCAGAACTCTTACACTGTGCTGGACAAAGGAACCATCCATGGTCTGGAAGAAAGGAAAGCAGAGTGACACCCTGGCTAGCCCAAAGGAGAAAGCAGAAGCAAGCCCAGGCCTTGAGGAGAAAGACTGTGGGGCTGGACCCCACTCAATCACTTAAGAGGACTATCAGGGCAGGGACGGATGGCTCACACTTGTAACCCTAGCTACTCAGGAGGCTGAGATCTGAGGATCAGGGCTCGAAGCCAGCTGGAGCAGGAAAGCCTGTAACATTCTCATCTCCAATGAACCACCAAAAATGTCAGAAGTGGAGGTGTGGCTCTAGTGGTAGAATCCTAGCCTTGAGAGAGACAGCTAAAGGACAGCACCCAAGCCCAGAGCTCAAGCCCCGGGACCGGTGCGCGCGCGCGCAGACAGGGCCGATCGGGGCTCGGGTTAAGTGGGTGAAGGTCAAAGGCTGCGCGCACACAGAAGGCGGGGACGGACTGACAGCCTCGGGGACAGCGGCTGCACCAGAAGGGCCGGAGAGGCGATGGTGCTGGGTCGAGGGGCAGCAAAGCGGGAGACAGGCCAGGGTCGTAAAGGGGTCGAGGCGAAGATTAACAAAAGTTGGGGGCCAGGAGGCGGGAATGGACGCGAACTGACGGGCCGTGAGGGGCTGGGCGGGGCCGTGCACAGGTGACCCGCGCCCACGCCGTCCCCACAGGTTCCACACGGCCGGCGGCGGCCCGCGGACCCCCTCCCGCGCCCTCCTCACCCGGCCCGTCCTCCCCGGGCGGGGGGCACTGACCCGGGCTCGGCCGCTTCCACAGCCCACAGACCAACTGTCGCGGCCCGACGTGCCGGGCCCACCGTGAGGAGACGCCGCCGTCGCCCCGCCGGATGTGACGTCAGGGCGCTCCGACCTGGGCGGGACCCTTCGTCATTGTAGGGCTTCTAACTCCGGCCCTTAGGGGGCGGGATTCCAGAAAGCAACCAATGGGATACATAAGGGGCGTGGCCAGACCCAGATCCAGGGTGCCAGGCCCGACTTCCGCAGTTGCCTGGCAACATCAAGCTGGCTCCTGGCCTCTGCCGCTAGGCTCCGCCCCCTGGCTCTACATGCCCAGGCTCCACCCTCTCCCCGGAGAGGAGGCGCCACCCAGACACAGGCTCGCGTTTCACCCATTTATTATAGGCGGCTTGGGAAGGGAACTGTGCTGATCTCAGCCGCGCGGTTACACCACGCGAGCCGGCACTGAGGAATCCTGAGGCCTCCCCCGCCAGGCCACCGCGGATCCTCGACCTTCCACCCGGCCTGCCCCGCTGATCAAGTGCCGCCGCTGCGCCGCGTGTAGTCCTGGATGGAGGCCTGGAAGTGCTGGGTGTTATTGAGATCCGGGCGGCCGAGGATCACGTAGCACTTCGGGAGGAAATACCCGCTGAAGCTGCCGCTCAGGCTGGCCAGCCCTGCCAGCACGTTGACCACGGGTAGGTGCCCGCCCTGGTCGATACTCGCCATGGTCAAGAAGGTGATCCAGGACACGAAGTTGAGGAGCAAGCTGAAGGTGACACATTTGGCCTCGTTGTAGTTCTCTGGCAGTTCCTTGCACAGGTAGCTGCAGGCAAAGGCGCTGATGGAGAGGAGACCGTTGTAGGTGAAAGCCAGCAGGAAGCCCAGTGAGTTGGCCTGGGTACACTCGAGGACCACCAGCTGGGGGAAGCGCTGGTATTCCCTAGTTGGCAGTGGGGTCCACACTGCGAGCCAAGTTAGACAGATAAGCAGCTGTGCAGTTGAGCTGAGCATCACAAACAGGCCAGCACCATGGTTTTGGACCCAAGCATGGTAGAATGTGGGTACCTTGGTGGAAAACTTGAAGATGATCACCAGTTGGAAAGAGCGGACTGTCAAGCAGGACAGAAAGATGGCGAAACCAAGGAAAAAGAGGGTCTGGCGGAGCAAACATTTGGGCAGTGTGGGCTCCCCAAAGAAGTTGTAGAGGCTGCAGCTACACCCCGCCAGGGAGCCCAGCATGAGGAAGCACAGCCTGCCCCCAGCCGACCTCACCACAGGAGTGTCATGGTGCCAAGCAAACAGGATGGCAGTCCCAATCAGTAGCAGCAGTAGCAGTGTATTCGCTGTCAGCAGCACGCAGGAGATGGGCTCAAGCCAAGTCAAAAACACCACAGTGCGTGGGAAGCAGGTGTGGCTTCCCGCGGGGGCCCACTCTTCTTTCCCACAAGGCTGGCAACTGTGGAGGTCTAGTCGAGAAAGAAAAAAACAAAAACAAAATCCTGGGGGCTGGGAAGGTGGCTCAGTGGTAGAGCGCTTGCCTTGCATGCATGAGGCTCTGGGTTCGATTCCTCAGCACTACATAAGCAGAAAAAGCCAGAATTGGCACTGTGGCTCAAGTAGTAGAGCGCTAGCTTTGAGCTGAAGAGCTGAGGGACAGTGCCCAGGCCCAGAGTTCAAGCGCCACGACCAGACCAAAAAAAAAAAATCCTGAAGTCTAAGTCAGCAGAGTAAAAATGGGAAATAGGGAAGCCTAGCCACTCAGGAGATTGAGATCTGAAGATTGCAGTTCGAAGCCATCCCAGGCAGAAAATTTCCATGAAATTCTTTTTTTTTTTTTCCAGACCTGGGGCTTGAACTCCGGGCCTGGGCACTGTCCCTGAGCTTCTTTTGCTGAAGGCTAGGGCTTTACCACTTGAGCAACACTTCCAGCCTCTTCGGTTAATGTGGTACTGAGAAATTGAACCCAAACTCCAATCACTTACACACACACACACACACACACACAATTTGTGTTGCAGATTCTGGAAACACATGAGGTCTATATGACTCCTATCCCAAAAGGGTTTGCATACGAAATGTATACAAGGAGCTCAGCCCTTGGAATGAGAGTGTGGTTCAGTAGGAGCAGCCAGCCCCAAAGGAAGGGTATTTTCATTTCTACTTTCACTAACCAAATCCACCTTACTGAGCTTCTCTGTGGTGCCTGAGTCCTGACTTTCTGAGTACAGATGTTATATATATTCTAATCCCTACAAACAGTAAAGAATTGTGTCCCTGGTGTCCAGCTCTGAGCCAAGCCCTTAGCAACCGAACTGACCCTTACTTCACTGTTTGGGCAGACTTATATTTCCCCCTATAGACATGCTAGTATCTGAATTCACATTTGTAATGTGAATGATGGGCATGAGCCGCCAGCACCCAACTGAGATCTTTTTTTTTTTTCCTTAAAAAAAAAAATGTTATGGGCAGGGATGTAGCTCAGTGGCAAAGCACTTGCCTAGCGAGTGCAAAGTTCTAGATTCAATCCCCAGAAACAAAAAAGACAGGGCTGGGAAGGTGGCTCAGTGGTAGAGCACTTGCCTTGCACTCATGAGGCCCTGGGTTCGATTCCCCAGCACCACATAAGCAAAAAGAAAAAAAAGCCAGAAGTGGCGCTGTGGCTCAAGTGGTAGAGTGCTAGCCTTGAGCTGAAAAACTGAGGGACAGTGCCCAGGCCCAGAGTTCAGGCCCCACAACCGGACCCCCCCCCAAAAAAAAAGAACAGACAAAAAATACAGTTAAAAAATTATAATAGCGGGCTGGGAAGGTGGCTCAGTGGTAGAGCGCTTGCCTTGCATGCATGAGGCCCTGGTTCGATTCCTCAGCACCATATAAGCAGGAAAAAAAAAGCTGGAAGTGGTGCTGTGGTTCAAACGGTAGAGCGCTAGCCTTGATCTGAAGAGCTGAGGGACAGTGCCGAGGCCCAGAGTTCAGGCCCATGACTGGACCCAAAAAGAAAATTATAATAGGCAGGCACCAGTAGCTAACACCTATAATCCTAGCTACTCAGGAGGCTGAAATCTAAGGATCATGGTTCAAAGCCAGCTGGGATAGAAAAGTCCCTGAGACTCTTATCTCCAATTAATCACCAGCAAACCAGAAGTGGCACTGTGGCCCAAGTGGTAGCGCACTTGCCTTGAGCTGAAGAGCGCAGGGACAGGGCTTACGTCCAGAGTTTAAGACCCACAACCAACCAAAAAAATTTTTTATATATATATATAAAGGTTATGAGCAATCTAGGCACTGGTGGCTCACGCCTATAATCCTACCTACTCAGGATGCTGAGATCTGAGGAGCACTGTTGGAAGCCAGCCTAAGCAGAAAATCCATGAGACTTTTTTTTGTGTGTGCCAGTCCTGGGGCTTGAATTCAGGGTCTGGGTACTGTCCCTAAGCTGCTTTTGCTCAAAGCTAGCGCTCTACCACTTGAGCCACAGCGCCACTTCTGGTTGTTTTTCTAAAGTTTATGTGATACTGAGGATCAGACCCAGGGCTTCATGCATGCTAGGCAAGCAAGCACTCTACCAGTGAGCCACATTCCCAGCCCCCATGAGACTCTGATCTCCAATAAACTAGTCAGAAAAAGCTGGAAGGGGTGCTGTGGCTCAAGTAGTAGAGCATGAGCCTTGAGCACAAAGAGGCTCAAGGACAGCACCCAGGTCAGGACAAGAAAAAAAAGTGATGTAAGGAGGGTGAGAGCTTGAGGAAGAGCTTTCTGTCCGCAGTGCAGGGTCACCCCACTCACCACTCTTATTGAGGAAGGTTCCAGCATCACAGGGCACACACTCAAAGCAACAGTGGTGGAAACCCATAACCACTCGATGGTGCCCTTCCAGACAGTCCAAGGTACACACAGACGTAGGCACCTGCAAGAAGCCACAGGCAAGGGCTAGGCTATAGCTTAGTGGCGAAGTACTTGTCTAGTCTAGTAAGTGCAGCATCCTAGGTTCGATCCTCAGTTACCACCCCCGCCCCCCACCCAAAAGAAAAAAGACAAGAAGCAACAAGCATCTGCAGCTGCATGCACAGGCCCTTATTGAGGGGCCGCTTATATGTGGAAGGGACAACAGAAGCTCCATACTTCTGTCCTCCACACTTAGTCCCAGAGCAAAGCCCCTGTTCATAGTCAAACAGTCAACTGGGTGTCTGTCTGTCAGCATCTGGGACCAGCAGAGCTAGGAAGAGCATGGGAGCCTGACACTTCCCTTCCTGATCTGGGGACACATTATCTGCAGACATCCTGTACCATCAGACAGCCACTACGAGAGACTCATCTCCATTACCTGGTTGCTCTTCCCATGCCACTGAATTTCTGTCTGGTTTAGGTCCAACTGGACTGGAGACCAGGTGGAGGAGCCAATGACTCTAAAGGTCCACTGGGGCCCACTCCAGTCCCAGGTGATGACGTTATAGCCAGGGAGTGGGTCTCCCTTGTCATCAAATGTCACAGTGTCCTCATGTAGAAGGAAATTCACTTTGTAGATCTGCTCTAGAAGCTGGAATAAAGAGACATCATGAAGTCACCATAAACCACACAGATCCACTGGCCCAGGGAAGGGCTGGGGGTGTGGCTTGCTATTACAACACCAATCTAGTAAGTGTGAATCCCTGAGTTCAAACTCCAGTACTGCCAAAAAAATAAAAATAAAAAAAACCTGAGTGAGCTGAGCACCAGTGACTCAAACCTGTAATCTTAGCTTCTCAGGAAGCTGAGATCTGAGGATCATGGTTCAAAGCCAGCCCGAGCAGGAAAGTCCATGAGACTCTTATCTCCAATAAACCACTAAAAAACCAGAAGTGGTGCTGTGGCTCAACTGATAGAGCACTCGCCTTGAGCTGAAGAGCTCAGGGACAGCGTCCAGGCCCAGAGTTCAAACCCCATGACTCAAAAAACAAAACAAAAAAAACAAAAAAACCTGGGTGCCGGTGCCGGTGGTTCATGCCTGTGATCCTAGCTACTTAGGAGGCTGAGATCTGAGGATGGTGGTTCAAAGCCAGCCTGGACAGGAAAGTCTGTGAGACTCTTATCTCCCATAAACTACTCAGAAAAGTCAGAAGTGGCCTGGCACCAGTGGCTCACACCTGTAATCCTCGCTACTCAGGAGGCTGAGATCTGAGGATCAAGGTTCAAAGCCAGCCCGGGCAGGAAAGTCCATGAGACACATCTCCAATAAAGCACTAAAAAAAAAAAAAAAAACAGGCATGACACTATGGCTCAAGTGGTAGAGCTGAAGAGCTGAGGGATGGCACCCGGGCCCAAAGTTCAAACAGTTGGCCCAGGAAGCAAGTGTCAGCAGTTTATCAGGCTTCCATGCCTACATGATTCTAGTCTACCTAGAAGATGTACTTCCTTCCTAGGAGATCTTTTTTCTCCTAGAAAGCCCTCTGACCTTCCAAAGCAGTTTCTGGAGGGGAGGCCTCTAAATAAAGAACTTCTTTGCAGAGACTTTTATTTTTTGTGCTGGAACTCCAGGTCTGGGTGCTGTCCCTTAGCTTTTCCCTCCAAGCATAGCACTCTACCACTTCACCTACATCTCCATTTCCATCTTTTTGGTTAGTTGGAGATAAGAATCTCTGGGTTTGTCTGCCTAAGCTGAGCCACAGTCCTCAGATCTCAGCCTCCTGGGTAGCAGCTAGTAGTATAAGCACAAGCCACCAGCACCCAGAGGCGCTGCAGAGATTTGAATCCCTTGATGTTTCTGGGGCATAGAAAAAAGGAAAATGAGGTCTGGGAAGGTGGCTTCGCAGCAGAGCACTTGCCTAGCATGGATAAAGCCCTGGGTTCGATTCCTCAGTACCAGATACACAGAAAAAGTCAGAAGTGGTGCTGTGGCTCAAATGGTAGAGTGCTAGCCTTGAACACAGAGAAGCTTAAGGACAGTGCCCAGGCCCTGAGTTCAAGCTCCAGGACTGGCAAAAAGAAAAAAGGGAAAAAGAATGGTCTAAGAGAAGACTAGTCCTTAAATGACTGGCTCATAGGATGGCCAGCATGTGTCCATTCTGTCCATCTGAGGATGGACCATTCTCACAGATAAAATTGGGGGCCTGGAGCTAGACTCTCACCTGCCATGGGTAGACTAGTTCCTTGGAGCAGGCTCCAGCAGGACAGCCCAGGAGCTGGTGGAGGCCGTGAGCCACAACATACACTGCCTGATAGGAGTTGTAGGCAGCACTCATGGAGAAGGCCCCCAGGTTGGGCGTCTCGTGCACCCCAAATGCTTGGCACTCTCGGCAGAGCTGGTTGGTGCTGCAGAAGGAATCCTTAGGGCAAGGCCTAGGGCCATTCTTTTCTGACAGAGCGTAGGCCTCTTCAAACTCCTTCAGGCCAGGGATGACCCTCTGCTTGATGGCCACCCCCAGCACGGTCCCAATGTCCCGGATGCCAGGCAGATGGGTGATATGGGTGGAGATGCACCAGTCTTCTGAGCCAATCCACACTTTGCCAGTGAGGTTGGCCAATACCACAGACTCAAAGAACACGGCAGCCAGCTGCCTGTTGGAGAAAACCACTACCACAGTGGTCCTGGCTTGGGCCAGGTGGAGCATCATATCCCCCATCCTCTTGTCCCCTGCCCTGGCTGAGACGGGTACAATGCCCTTGAAGGCAATACACATGCCACGCTGTGTGGCCAGCTCCTCCAGCGCCTGTACACCGAGCTGCCCATAGTCACCGTGGCTGCCCACCAGCGAGAGCCACAGCCAGCCGAACTTCTGCAGAAGCAACACCAGGATCTCTACCTGGTGTTGGTCGCTGGGGATGGTGCGCAGAAAAGAGGGGTACAACCGCTTTGTGCTGAGTGCTGTGCTGCTGGCCTCATAGCTGATCTGCAGGGGGCAAGGGGTCCCCATTCAGTGAGATCCATAGTGTGGACCTCAAGGGCAGCCCCGCCCTCAGCTCCCAGCCCTGGACTGTGTGTGGGGGACACAGGGAGGGAGGGTGGGGACAAGGAGAGGCCTAGGATCCTCTCCCAGGCCGCCCCTGGGGGAGGAGTGAGAATCTGCCCAGTGGACATGGAGGACTCCCACATCCTGAGCGCAGGGAACAGACGTGTCTCCTCCAGGGAATGAGATGATATACGGAGGATTAAGGGAGACACAGGAGCTACTGCTTGGCAAACCGCTGCAGCTCAGCTTACCAGGGGCACCAGAAAGGGGCTCAGCATAGCAGCGGTGATGACTGCGTGGTCGGTGGTGTCCGGTCCGATGACGGCCATCACCCTGGGGGAGTAGTGGGACAGGTTTCCTCGGATCCCTACGTAGCGTGTCCCTGGCAGCGCGAGCATGCTCAGCGTGGCGTACACATTGGCTGACTCGGAGCACACGTCGTACAGCTCATACCCCAGCGTGACATTGGGTAACAGCGACGTGGAGTTGTTGATCTCCTCGATGGCAAACCTCATGGCCTGGAAGAGGTGGTAGCCGTGGCCATTGAAGCTGTCAGGTCTGTGGGGAAAGCCGAGCGAGAGCTGGGACATCCCTCAGGTCACCCACAACTGCCACGTCAGCCTGGACCCTGCAGTTCACAAGGCTCCAGGGGACGGGGGTACACGGGAGAAATGCTGCATCCCATGCTGATACACATAAAATCACTGAAAGGCTCCGAAGTCCTGTAGCAGAAAGGCTGATGTACTCAGAGTTCTCTTCAGAAACAGAATCTATGGATATCAACAGGGAGACTTAAGAAACTGACAAATCTAGCCAGGCACCAGTGACTCATGCCTGTAGTCCTACCTACTCAGGAGACTGAAATCTGAGGATCAAAAGTTTGACCGTTGGTCTGGGTAGAAAAATCCCAGCGACTCTTCAGATAGCCAGCAAAAAAGCTAGAAGTAGAGTTGTAGTTCATGAGACAGAGCACCAACTTGGAACAAAAAACCAAAACAAAACAAGGGACAACCATAATCTGTGCCTTTTTGTTGATTAATTGGAGAGAAGAGCCTCAAAGATTTGTGTGTCCAGGCTGATTTCAAATCTTGATCTGAGATCTCCTGAGAATCTTGATCCCAAATAGCTCTCAATAGTTTGGATTACAGGTATATGCCACTGGTATAAACCACTGTTTTTGTTTTGTTTTGTTTCTTGCCGGTAGCAGAACTTCAGCTCAGGACCTTCTACTCTCCTGGGCTGCTTGCTCACATCTGGCACCCTACCACTTGAGTCATACCTCCAGTTCAGCATTTTTTCAGTTAATTGAAGATGAAGTTTCAGAGATATTTTTCTGCCTGGGCTAGCTTCAAAACTCAATCCTCCAGGTCTCAGTCTCCTGAATTGCTAGGATTATAGGCATGAGCCACCAGCACCTTGCTGGATTTAACTATTAATCAAATCTAAACAATACATACACAAAACCAGGCACTGACGTGTCTTGCCTATAATCCTACCTACTTAGGCTCCATGGTACCCTAGTAGCCTCATAAGTGAAAGACCCTGAGTTCAAAAAAAAAAAAAACAAGAAAAAGAAAAAGGATCACAGAGTATAAGTTGGCAGGACTGTGCAGGATCTAGGCATCACCCTGGCAGGAGCAAGTGTGGATTGATGGGAAAGGGCTGGGGCTGTCAACTCAAGGGCTGGGCCCAGCCCAGAGGCAGACAGAAGGGCCCTGGAGCCACAGGACCCACTATGTGAGAGTCCTCACTCACCTGTCACAGAAGGTCACCTGGGGTCTGTGTCTCTGCTGCGAACAGTCAGAGTGGAGAGGGAACAGGCCTCCGAGGAGATAATCTCCCTGGAGACTAAAGTCAGGTGAGGATTCGGTCCTCTGACAGTCAAAAGTCCAGCAGATGGCAATGGAAAACTGCAGGCCAACCAGATGGACCACCCAGAGCAACATGCTGAGCAGATGCCCCTGTACCCAGCATGCTCAAGCAGCACTTTCTGACAAGGCCAGCCACTTAAATACTGTACACAGCAGCTGCCCGGATGCTAGGCAACTGACTTCGTGCCCTTGAAAGGGGTGGGACTGGAACACAGTTGTAGAAATCAGACTGTTTCTTTTGGCCTCCCACCCAGGAACTGGGCAGGGCCCAGGCATGGATGCAAACCAGGTGGTGCCCAGTGGTGCTGGATGTTGGTGGGTTCTGTTCTTGGTCCGTTGCCTCTTTGGCTTCACCTGGCTCAGGAAGGGAGAGCTGGCATTTTGGGGGATGGTAAGCTGGGACAAGTTTATTGTGGTAAGAAGTAGGGTATGGAGGAGTGTGTGTGTGTGTGTGTGTGTGTGTGTGTGTGTCTGTGTGTATCAGTACTGGGGTCTTGAACTTGGGCCTCAGTGCCATCCCTGAGCTTTTGTGCTCAAGGCTGATGCTCTACCACTTGAACCACAGCTTCACTTCTGGCTTTTCTGTTGGTTAACTGGAGATTGGTTTCATAGACTTTCCTGCCTTGGTTGGATTCAAACTGTGATCCTCAGAGCTCAGCCTCCTGCATAGCTATGATTACAGATGTGAGCCACCTGGCTTAGAGTTGTTTTTTTAAACCGGAGGCTGACCTCGACCTTCTGAACGCAGGCGATTCTCTTCCTTTTGCTTCAGTCTCTCCAATAACTGGGACTGCAGCCTGCACCACCATAATCTGCCAAGCAGCAGCATTTAGAACCCTTTGGTTGGGCTTCAGGTTAATGAATGAGACATGGCTTTGAGTGGACACCGCCACCCACAGTCTTGTGTTCTGACACTTGAAAATGTGAGCCGAATAATCCCAGTCTGGCCGCGATGCCCAGGATCGCTCCCTTCAGCCCAAAGACAAATGAATGCAAATAGAACGTATGCAAAGATGGATTTTGTTTAAAATTCCAATCCTGGAGCTTTTTCTGCAGAAAAAAAATAATCCCAGGTGGATTTCCGGAGCGGTGGCTCTGTGGCCTAACCCTGGGGTTCAGGCTTTCCCCGTCCAGCTGGCTGGGGTGGGACCTTTGCATAATGTAAATACTGTGCAGCCCCGGGTGGGATGCGAGGGTGGGGGTCTCCCCAGGCCTTCGCGAGCCTGCTCCGGGCCAGAGCCTCCGGCGTGCTTCCGGAGGCCGACGCTAGAGGGCGCGCGCCGCCCCGAGGCCGCGGGGCGGAGCGGGAGGCACCCCGGTAAGTCTCGCGAGATTCTCCTCGGCCGGCGTCAGGGGCTCAGCATGGCGGATTCGGAGAGGCGCTTCAACCGGGCGCTCTACCGCTCCGTGTGGTCCAAGATCTTCAAGATCCGCCCGAAGCTCGTGCTCTGCCGCCGAGATCGCCTCCGACTGCGGGCCCCAGGCCGGTGCGAGCGACACCGGCGGCGGCGGCGGCTGCTGCAGGCCCAGGCGGCCCACGAGGGCTGCCGGGAGCGATGCGGCGCGGGCGTGCGGGGCGGCGCGGGCGTGCGGGACGGCGCGGCCGGGGAGAAGCCCGAGGCCGGCGCGGCCGGGGAGAAGCCCGAGGCCGAGGCGGCCCGGAGGCCGCAGGCCGCGTCCCCCAGCCCGGCGCGCGACGCGTACCACGCCCGGCCCTTGGCCCCGTTCCCCTTCCCGATCAGCGCCCTGCTGCCCGCCGCGCCCTGCATCCGCTTCCCCAGCCCGCCGCCCGCGTAGAGCGTCCGGGAGAAGCGCCGGGCCCCGCAGGTGCGGCAGCTGGGCCCGGGCTGCACGCTGCTGCTGCTGCCCGTGGAGGATGTAGGCGGGGTGTGCGCGGGGCCGCTGCGGGGGGCTGTCCGCGCCCGAACCCGCGCCGCCAACGCCGGCTGCAGCGTGCCCGGGGTTACCCTGCGGCGAGAGGCAGAGCCGGGAGTCGAACTCGCCCGCGGGGAGAAGGGAAAGGCAGGAAGCGGAGGGACTAGGCCAGCCTGGCGCCTTGCTGAGGACGGGGTTTGGATTCAGGGCCCTCTACCACTTGAGCCACGTCTCTAGCGTGTGTGTGTGTGTGTGTGTGTGTGTTGATTTGTGGGGCTTGAACCCGGGACCTCCTGCCCTCAGCCGTTTTGCTCTAGGCTGGCGATCCATCACCTGAGTCTCCACCTCCAGCTTTTTGATGGTTATTTGGAGATTGAGTCTCTGGACTTGCTGCGCATCTCAGCCCTTCGATCTCTGCCCCACGAGTAGCTAGGATTACAAGCTTGTAATTGGCTTCCAGCTCTGTCTTTAGTTCGTTATTTTGGAGGTAGGAGTCTTTCGGAACATTTTCTGCGTTGCAGACCTTACACCTACTGTTCTTAGCCTTTTGAGAAGGTAGGGTTACTTGCATGAACAAGTTTAAATACAGGCTTGCTTTGGAGCTGCCGCAGGATATGATCTGAGGTTGAAAATGTGTATATGGCTTGTCCTGGAAGTTCACACCTGTAATCCTAACTAAGGAGGCTGAGAGATCTGACAATCCTGGTTCAAAGCCAGCAGGAGAGCCGGGCGCTGGTGGCTCACGCCTGTAATCCTAGCTACTCAGGAGGCTGAGATAGGAGGATCGCGGTTCAAAGCCAGCCCGGGCAGGAAAGACCGTGAGACTCCTATCTCCAATAAACCACCAGAAAACCGGACGTGGTGCTGTAGCTCAAGTGGTAGAGCGCTCGCCTTGAGCTGAAGAGCTGAGGGATAGCGCCCAGGCCCAGAGTTCAAGCCCCATTGACCGACACACACAAAAAAAGCCAGCAGGGGCAGAAAAGTCCCTGGGAAACCCTATCTCCAATTAGCCACTCAAAAACCATAGTGGAGCTGTGGCTCGAAGTGATAGAGTGCTAGCCTTGTGTAAAAGAGCTCAGGGACAGTGCCCAGACCCTGAGTTCAAGCCCCAGGACTGGGAAAAAAACAAAAAAACGTGTATGGCTGGGTTATGGTGGCTACATCTGTAATCCTGATTCTCAGGAGCTTGAGATCGGAGGATAGTGGTTCAAAGCCAGCCCAAGCAGAAACGGCTGGGAGACTCCACTCCCGGAAAAATGTTTGGAGGCCTGGCTCAAGTAACAGCCCAGTAAGCAGTCAAAGCCCTGAATTCAAATCCTTGTATGCACAAAAAAAGTAAAGGAGGCTGGGAATGTAGTTTAGTGGTAGAGTGCTTGCCTAGCATGCATGAAGCCCTGGGTTTGATTCCTCAGTACTACATAAACAGAAAAGGCTGGAAGGGGCACTGTGGCTCAAGTGGTAGAACACTAGCCTTGAGCAAATGAAGCTTAAGGACAGTGCCCAGGTCCTGAGTTCAAGCCCCAAGACTAGCCAAAAAAAAAAAAAAAAGGAACTGGGTGCCTGTGATCCTAGTTACTCAGGAGGCTGAGATCTGAGGATCACAGTTTGAAACTAGCTTGGACAGGTTAAGTCCCTGAGACACTTCAATTAACCAGAAAAAAAACAACAACAAGTGGTGCTGTGGCTCCAGTGGTAGAGCGCTAGCCTTGAGCTGAAGAGCTGAGGGACAGCACTCAGGCCCAGAGTTCAGGCCCCATAACCAGCAAAAAAAAAAAGGAAACGAAAAAAGAAAAGTGAAGGATGTGTGCTGGTTACCTAGTCCAATGTAATCTGCCCCTGGCAATGGGTAATTTTCAGGTATGTGAATAGCAAGTCTGCATTTCTTCAGTGTTTGCAACACGTTCTATAATGTTACTTCTTTCTTTGCTAGGAGTTTACTTTCGGTGGCACGTGTCGCCTGACTTGCCTCTATGGCGAGGTGGAGGTGTTTGGTTATGCCATCCGGCAAGGCCAGCCTCCCCAAGACCTCTTCTCTACCTTCACACACGCTTTCCTGAATATCACTGCGGTTCGTTACTCCATGCCTCAGAAAACCAAGAAAGAGACGAAAAAGGAATTCCGAGCTTTGGTCAGATCTCGTCTTAACCTAGGTAAAGAAAAGAACTGAGTAGCTGATAGTATTTAAATTCTTACTGTGGTTTAGACATTGTGCTTAGAACTTGAATCCAGGGGGCTGGGAAGGTGGCTCAGTGGTAGAGCACTTGCCTTGCATGCATGAGGCCCTGGGTTTGATTCCTCAGCACCACATAAGCAAAAAGAAAAAGCCGGAAGTGGCGCTGTGGCTCAAGTGGTAGAGTGCTAGCCTTGAGCTGAAGAGCTAAGGGACAGCGCCCAGGCCCAGAGTTCAGGCCCCACGACCGGACCCCTAAAAAAAACTGGAATCCAGGATCTCTATATCTATTCAGACAAATAAGGCTTCATAGGCATTAACGTACTGTTATTTTAAGTTAAGGGTCCTTTTGTAGGCATTAAGGTACTGTTATTTTTAGTACTTTTTAATGTAATAAAAATTTTCTGAAGCCATGAATGTTGTATTAAATGGCTTCTCAAACTAAATGTGGAAAAAAGTCACTGTTACTGTGCAATGTAGCCTTCTGAAAAGGGCTGTAGAACAGGATTAGCTACTGTCAGCTTGCCTTTTAGCAGAGAAGCTAGGAGCTCTGAACGGCAGAGAATTTAGTGGAGTTTCTGCGTCTGAGGTGATTTATTTTTCTCTTTGCAGAGGACAGATCTTGGTCGATAAAGAATTTTTCTCCTCTGTGTTCCCTTGTGATGCTAGAACAGCTGAAAAACTCCACTGTAAACTTCATTACCAGCTTTCCAGGTTTATCTTGCGTTTTCATGCAAGAGGTAAAATCAGTTTCATTCAGTTTTGCTAATTACTTGTGTCAAAACAGTCGAGCTAACTTGCTCTATAAAGTGTTCTCTTTGAATCAGTCTGTCCTGTTAGTGGGATAGGTCTATAGTCAAGAAACAGTCTAGCCAAGAGCCAGTGGCCCATGCCTATAACCATGGCTCTTCAGGAGGTGAGATCTGAGGGTCTTGATTTGAAGCCGGCCCTGGCAGAAGTCTGTGAGACTCTTTATTTTCATTTAACCAGTGAAAAGCCGGAAGTGGAGCTGTGGCTCCAGTGGTAGAGCACCAGCTTTGAGCAAAAAAAGCTAAGGGAGAACACCCTGGCCCTGAATTCAAGCTCCTGTATATGCACATTTATTAAAAAGGTGGGGGGGCGGGGGGGGAGTTTGGGAATGTGGCTTAGTGGTAGAGTGCTTGCCTAGCATGCATGAGGCCCTGGGTTCGATTCCTCAGTACCATATAAACAGTAAAAGCCAGAAATGGCACTGTGGCTCAAGTGGTAGAGTGCTAGCCTTGAGCAAAAGAGGCTCAGGGGCAGTGCAAGTCACTTTTTCAGCTGGGTGCTGGTGGCTCATGCCTATAATCCTAGCTATTTGTGAGGCTGAGATCTGAGAATTGTGGTTTGAAGCCTCTCCAATTAACCACCAGAATACTGGAAATGGCACAGTGGCTCAAAGTGGTAGAGGGCTAGCTTTGAGCAAAAGAGCTCAGAGTGCTGGGATGTAGCTCAGTGGCAAAGCACCTGCCTAGCTAGTGCAATGTCCTGGTTTGATCCCCAGAACCAAAAAGGGAAAGACACAAAAGAGCTCAGAGACAACACCCAGGCCCTGACTTCAAGCCCCATGACTGACAGAAAAGTCGCTGTTTCAGGCAGATGTGGGTGCCCATACCTTGAGAGGCAGGAGGATCATGAATTTGAGTCCAGGCTTAACTATATTGGAGATCTTGTCTCAAAACAAGGTGGGGGCAGGGTGTGTGGCTCAGGTGGTAGAATAACCTGCCTTGGCAAATGCAAGGTCCTGTGTTCCTTTTTTTGTTTTTCCCCCCAGACCGGGGGCTTGAACTCAGGGCCTGGGTGCTGTCCCTGATCCTCTTTGTGCTCAAAGCTAGCAATCTAGCACTTGAGCCACAGGACTTCTTCCAATCCTGAGTTCTAATCCCACTTTCAAAAGCAAAACATTGCAGCGCATCATTTTGTGGTTGGCAAAATACAAACAAAAAAACCATTGAACTTCGTTAATGGTTATCTTAATTTTCTTTTCTTTTTCCTTTTTTTTTTTGGGTCCGGTCATGGGGCCTGAACTCTGGGCCTGAGCGCTGTCCCTCAGCTCTTCAGCTCAAGGCTAGCGCTCTACCACTTGAGCCACAGTGCCACTGCTTCAGGATTAGTGGACAGTAGATGTAAGGGAGAATTACAGATGGGGGCGGAGCTAAGCAAGCTGTTTGTCTGTGCTGACAGGGAGGTGGCCTGTTAACCGTCTGGCAGGGGACACCAACTGTCAGTGATCTGTGAGTTTGGAGCTGAGGAGAGCCCTTCAACTCTGCCTGTCACTTTAACTTTTGTTTTATGTTTTTGGAATTTCTCTTAACTTAAAAAAAAATTTTTTTTGGGTATTGGTACCAGGACTTGAACTCAGGACCTGGCACACCTGATTTTCTTGCTCATGGTTGGTGCTCTACCTCTTGTCACACCACCCTGATTTTTTGCCTGGGCTGGCTCCAAATGATCATTCCTCCAGGTTTTTAGCCTCCTGGAGTAGCGAGGATTACAGGTGTAAGCTACTGACCCTGCCTGGCAGGGTGTTTTTGGAAAGTCTTACTAGGTTGCCTCAAACCTCAGATCTTCTGCCTCCTACCCCTCCGGTGCTGGCAGCAGAGGTGTGGGCCGTGGTGCTCGGTGAATGGCATGCCATGTCTTTCTCTGGAGCCTTCTGCAGGAGTGACAGCGGCTTGGGAGGAAGTATGAACTGTGGAAGCAGACATAGATGACTTCAGAATGGAGTTGATAGTGACTTGCTGATGAATTTTGTAGCTGTGGGGGAGAGAGGGAAGGATCAGATTTACACTTTGTAATTATCTCTTTTTTTTTTTTT